CATCACTATTGTAAGGTAGAACACTCATCCATGTACTACCTGATGCCATCTTGCACACCACTAGTAGTATCCATACTAGCTTTGAGAAACAGTGGCCAGATAGTCACGGTGGGTTCATTTATAGCTGGACCTAATTTCTGCAGTGGATCTTTAGGTCTCTCATTTTTAAGTAACCATGCATTCCGCAGGGTCCACTGGCTGAGAGGGCCTCATGAGGATCCTTTTCCAGATCGAGGTGAGGTGGCCTGAACAGCTGCTCTGGCCTGGCGTCTGGTTAGGAAAGGGGCTGTCTTGCTGGTCAGGGCCATGCTTATGTGCTGCAGCTTGTGTCCAAGACTCCTGCCATCTCCCAGTTAAGCAGGGGGTCTGCACCAGGGGTCTGTTGCCCTGCAAGTGTGGAATATTCAGCAGACTCTGTCCTTGCTTCCAGATAATTGGCTCACAGCATCTGTTGCCCTCCTGTTGGCAGGAAGGGAGGGAGAATGACAACAGAAGGCAGCAGGAGCACAGATGCTCCCTCCTCTACATCAGGAGGGCTGGACCAGAAAGCAGTTTAAACAAAAACAAACCTAGCCCAGATTCACCAGCAGCAAACCATGAGACACATTAAGAAAGATTAGAACTCTGTGCCAGGGGCTTTGAAATGTGGAAGGCAAGGAAGGAAATAACCCCTGCTGGCCCCTTAGAAACAATACTGGGAAAAAGAAGAGGGGAGCATAGGAGTACCAGCCCATTTCTGTTGCTATAACAGAATAACTGAGGCAGGAGCGCTTGGAGAAGGTAAGAGGTGTATTAGGCTCACAGATTCCGAGGCTGAAGGTGTGGGATCTGGTGGCTCCATTGGTTCGGTTTCTGAGAAGGCCTCCCAGGTGGAGCACACACTAGAGTGAGGGGTCTCACCGCCAGATGGGCCAGGCCTGCAAGAGCACACTACAGGAAACCCTCTGCAGGCAGCACCCCTCCTCTTAGAGATCCCCCCACCCCACACACCACCAGACTGGGGACCAAGCTTTCAACACAGGAATGCCACAGTCAAACTACAGAAGGGACAAAGTCCTGAGGACTCTTCCTAACACAAGAAAATGTGGGAAGAGCCTAGTCCAGGAGGTGGCTAGATAGCCTTGGTCGGTGTGAACAGAAAGCCCTCAGCAGAGGCAGAGCAGAACCGGCTCCCAGAGAGGAAGAGCATGGTGCCCCGACAAGGGCAGGACCAGGGTCCTGAGTCAGGAGGGTGCACGGAAATCAACAGCCGACTTCAAACCACAGGCATCCGAGGAGTGAACCCAAGGATCCGCGTCTGATTCTCCTCCCCTCTGTGCCTCTCTGCCTCACAAATAACATGCAAACCAATACTTGAAAAAATATGAGCGAGCTATATAAACTTGTAAAGGAAATAAAATTACTAAAATATTGAAAAATTACATTTAGAATTTTCATATTAAAATATAAAGTGACATAGTTATTTTTTTCTAAATAGTAAGTTCATATTCCGGTGAAGGCAGTAACCAGATGGTCTTGACCTGAAAGAAGTCAAGGAATATTGCAACCATGAGCATTTCTGGAAAGAAAGAAAAACCACCCTGTGACGAAATTGACCAATTGGTTCAAATCAGAATAACAGAACTAGGGTAGAAAAGCCATGATTGAAAACTAGTAACAACAACAGCAACAAATACTAGTGAGCATTCAAATCTCATTATGTAATCTTTTTTTTTTTTTTTAATTTTTTTTTTTGACAGGCAGAGTGGACAGTGAGAGGGAGAGACAGAGAGAAAGGTCTTCCTTTTGCCATTGGTTCACCCTCCAATGGCTGCTGCGGCTGGTGCGCTGCGGCCGGCGCACTGCACTGATCCGATGGCAGGAGCCAGGTACTTCTCCTGGTCTCCCATGCAGGTGCAGGGCCCAAGCACTTGGGCCATCCTCCACTGCACTCCCAGGCCACAGCAGAGAGCTGGCCTGGAAGAGGGGCAACCGGGACAGAATCCGGTGCCCCAACCGGGACTAGAACCTGGTGTGCCGGCACTGCAAGGCAAAGGATTAGCCTAGTAAGCCGCGGCGCCAGCCTCATTATGTAATCTTAAGACCAAATGATGTGGGGAAAAGGGGGCAGGTGGATTATTGTTACAGAAACATAACTATTAGGTGCCTGATGAATGTAAAGTGTTATAGAACAGTAACATGAAAACATGTAGTTAACCCCTTAACTTTTCTTATTTAAATATTTATTTATTAATTTGAAAGGCAGAGTTATAGAGAGGCAGAGGCAGAGAGACAGAGACAGAGACAGAGAGAGAGAGAGAGAGAGAGAGAGGTCTTCCACCCGCTGGTTCACTCACCAGATGGCTGCAATGGCCGGAGCTGCACCGGTGTGAAGCCAGGAGCCGGGAGCTTCTTCTGGGTCTCCCATGTGGGTGCAGGGCCCAAGTCCTTGGGCCATCTTTTTTTTTTTTTTTAGATTTATTTATTTACTTGAAAGTCGGAGTTACACAGAGAGAGAAGGAGAGGCAGAGGCAGAGAGAGAGAGGTCTTCCATCCTCTGGTTCACTCCCCAATTGGCCTCAACGGTCGGAACTGCACCAATCTGAAGCCAAGAGCCAGGAACTTCCTCCAGGTCTCCCATGTGGTTTCAGGGGCCCAAGGGCTTGGGCTGTCTTCCACTGCCTTCCCATGCCAAACAGAGAGCTGGATCGGAAGTGGAGTAGCCGGGACTCGAACCGGTGCCCACATGGGATGCCAACACCATAGGCGGTGGCTCTACCTACTATTCTACTGCTTTCTTAGGCTATAGCAGAAAGCTGGATTGAAAGTAGAACAGCCAGGACTTGAACCCCACCCATATGGGATGCTGGCACTGTAGGCAGTGCCTTTACCCACCACTCACAGCACTAGCCCCACCCCTTAACTTTTCATAATTTTTCCCTGTGAGTTAAATTGTGTGTGTGTGTGTCTAAATATTTTAACTTCAAGTCAGAAATCTACTTTGTTTCATTTCTGCTTTCTTATCCTCCTGTTAAATTCAAAGGAAATCAAATAGCCCTTATTTGAGAAAAACTCTGACATTATTATTGTAAGTGAAATCATTGCCATCTACCTATCTTTCTAATAGTACCTGTGCATAACAAGGTACACAAAATGATGTTCGCCAACTGTGAATACAGTGGTGGGGTATCAAATCATTTCTTTATTCTTTTTTTGTGTTGCTTTGATTTTTTTAAAATAAGCCTGTATTGTAAAAGCACCCATATATTTTTTTAAAGATTTATTTATTTTATTTGAAAGGCAGAGTTATAGAGAGGGAGAGAGAGAGAGAAGTTGTCCATCTGCTGGTTCCCTCCAGAGATGGCCGCAATGGCCAGAGCTGTTCCAATCTGAAGCCAGGAGTCAGGAGCTTCTTCTGGGTCTCCCAGGTGGGTGCAGGGGCCCAAGGACTTGGGCCATCTTCTACTGCTTTCCCAGGCCATAGCAGAGAGCTAGATTGGAAGTGCAGCAACTGGGACTCGAACTACACCCATAAGGGATGCTGGCACTGCAGATGGCAGCTTTACCCGCTACACCGTAGCGCCAGCCCCAGCACACCCCTCCCCCCTTTTTTTAATAAAAGCCATGAAAGCAGTACTGTTACTATAGAATGTTGATCAGTAGTGTAACTGTTCTCATTGCTTCTTGGTCATTTTTTTTTAATAGCAACATTGGAAAACACCAGAAAAAGGATCATTGACAATATTTTTGCAACTCATCTCTAAGGTGTTGGCAACTGCCTAGAGGCCCAAGGCATAGCAGTGGAAAGCATCTTTTCTCATAGGATCCTTTTGCCTTCTTATGGAATCATGAAGTGAAATAGCAGGCTGGTGAGCTGCATCCGGGTGCTCCTGATAGGCAGGAAGTGTGGTACCATGTGCTGTCATTCAAATATCTGAACCTACCCAATCACCAACACCCTCGTTTTGGATGTTTGGGGTCGCCTTCTGTCTCTGCACTTGGCTGCTGTGTGATGTTTTCATCTCCCCAAGTGTGCAGTGTTCTCTAGCTTCCAGGCCCTTGCACCTGCAGGTCTGTCTGCATGGGACACACCTCCCCGTCACCCTTCCCCCAGCTCCACCTCCTCATGTTCAGGGCTTGGCTTTGGCCTCCTTCCTCAAACAGACTTTCATCAAAACTCGCTAGTTTAAGACCCCTTTCTACTAACCAGTGGCGATGCTCATGGGTTACGCTGGGCACGTTTATCCTGTTCACTCATGTCACACTGCTTGGCAGACCAGAATCTGGTTTGGGAAGTGCAAGGCCAGGTTCTTACACAGCCCTTCAGTAGCACATGCTTTCCCTCTCTCTTCGGGGATCAGCCAGGGTGATTACTCTTGTAGCACCTGCTGTGAACACGAGCCCTCCCTATTCGCTTCTCCTCCCATTCCCTCAGGGTCACTCCCGCTTATTCTCTCTCAGCAGGCCTCTGGGCTCCTGCTTTGGTTAGCAAAGGCGCCTTTTCTTGGTAGTGTTTCAAGCTGAAGCACATCATGAGGGAGCAGTTGTGGGGTTTAGATGTTGCCCTGCAGCACAAGCCTTTGAGGGACAGCCGCAGCCTTGGAGCCCAGGTCGGTGGCCGGGGAAGTGGGCTCAGGCAGCCATTGCTTGTGTCCTCCAAGAAATCTTTGCTCGGTCTCTGATGAAAAAGATAGACATTTAAAAAGGCCTCTTACAAGGCAATTTATACAGGTCATCCTAAATGTATTCATATGTATATAAAATAAAGAAGATAGACTAACTTATATCATTGCACTTCTCTGGTGGAATTTGTTTGTCTTTTTGTTTTCAAATTTTCTGTTATAAATACTTTCATAGACACTTCCTGGCATTTCTTAAGCCCTGAAATGTGGTGGTGTGCACGGCAGCCCCTGTGAAGGCCAGAATGAGCTGGGCCCTGCCAGGATGGAGTGCGGCGTGTTCCCAGCCGGCTGGGGTGTGTTTCCCTGTGTGTTTCACCTTGGCATCTTTTTCCTCCTCAGGTGATGGGCTGACTGGGATCCCCGCACACGTCCTCAACAGCTCCCCCTCAGATCGGCAGATTAACCAGCTGGCCCAGAGGCTGGGCCCCGAGTGGGAGCCTGTGGTGCTGTCGCTGGGACTGTCCCAGACCGACGTCTACCGCTGCAAAGCCAACCACCCCCACAACGTGCAGTCGCAGGTGGTGGAGGCCTTCGTGCGTTGGCGGCAGCGCTACGGGAAGCAGGCAACCTTCCGGAGCTTGCACGAGGGACTCCGGGCCGTGGAGGTGGACCCCTCGCTGCTGCAGCACATGTTGGAATGATGCTGCCCACTGGGGAGTGGGTCCCCAGGTCACATGTGCCAAATCCTGACACTCAAAGCAGGTGGTTTTTTAGTTTTTCCTTTTTAATGATCCTTAGATGAAAGGAAAAGAGAGTTTCCTCTTGACATTACTTGGAAGGCCAGATTGGTGAATCCATCTGTCGCATTGGCCCAATAATCCATTGTTTGTAATGGCTTGAAGATTGCATTGTTGTAATTGTGCAGTTTTTAATTGTGTGGTTGCCTTTTAATAGACTGGCAAATAAAAAAAAATACCGTGTTATCACATTACATGCAGATGTCTTATACATTAAACATTCACTTTTATGTTACCTTGAAGCTCAACTGTGGACTTTGCTATTCATAATGATGATGATAATAAAAAGTGAATTACTGTATATGATGTGCCTCTTTCATGGGAAGCTATCGTGGTGGTGTTGTCACTCTTTCGTATTGCATAGAACAAGGTTATAAAATCACGGTAGTCACTTCTTTGGAACCGAATTGATAATTGTAGCAAAATGGTTACTTTCCTCAGACAAGATAAACAGCTCAGGCAGGATGTTTGTGTTCAATCTAAGACACTGAAGCTCCCTGGAAAGACTAGTTCAAGTACCAGCATGCACCCCCAAGCCCAGCAGCCTTTAAAGATTGCATAAGAAAACTCTTCGCTGTTTATTTAAAGCATGTAGTTTGGGGGACAAAAGAAGGTGTGGCCTTTCTGTTGAAGCCACAGTGATTGAAGAGTTATGCTCCTGGGTGGTATGATTTCATCTGTCCTTTTATCAATAGTGTGCCGTGTCTATAACCTACTTTACCATTTTCAAGGCTTTTTGTGTAAGTGATCTCATTTGGATGGCTCAACAGTCCTGCGAGGTAGGTGAGCAAGCGTGGTTAGCAGAGAGATGAAGAGACTGGCCTGGGTGACTGAACTGGAACGCCTGCCCTTTCCAGCTGTTGGGCAGCTTCTCCTGCTCTCTCCTGCGTGCCAGTCTAAGAAGCTGCAGTCCTGCTCCCCACCTATGAGCTGCTTCCCCAGTAGCCTTTATTTACCCTCACTAAGACTCAGTTGTCTCAGTGGTAGAATGAGGAAATGGTTGTCCCTGATAAAAGAAAAATCCTGAGATGTCTTAATTATAATTACAAGGTCCTGAGAGGCGGAGAGGGGACGAGATAGGAAAGTTAATCAGTTAACAGCTGCAGGCAAAGCCAACAAGACTGTTCCAGACTTCTGAATTGTATGTTGAAACCTTGACCCAATTCCCATCATGGCCAACCTCCACGGCCACCTCACCCAGTTCATGCGTGAGTTTTGCAGACTGTTAACTGCAGCGAATCCAGAAGCAGCAAGGACTTCCCCTATGGACTGCCCTTTTGTCCCGAAGCTCTCTCCCACTCTGCATCAACTCGCCCTTCTTATCTGTAGCCAGTGTAGGTTCAATGTGAACAAATTTTGCTGATAAGAGGATTCTTAGCTCTGGGTATAGAGGGCACTTTTCCAGTCGCTCTCTAGCCTTGCAGCAACTTTTTTTCTGGCTGGCCTCTGTAACCACTCAGGAAGACCCCTTTATGTCAGTGATCTCTTGAACTCAAGAGTTTTGGTTCCCCATGCCCATCTCCAAGATCTCTGTGATGCCTCAAGCAATAATGCCTCCCAAGAGTGTATCCAGGGTTGGCTCCATGTAGTGTATAGTTCACAAAGTGAAGAGTGGCACTGTGGGAGGAACTGTTATTGGCACATTGCTTGTTGAGCTTCCAAATGTGTGATTTTGTTGATGCTACAAAAGGTCTAATCAAGAGAGAGGCAAGCAAACACTCCCAATCCTTGCTCCATCCTTCTTAATGATTGGGGAATCTACTACTTAATTCTAATGTAACTTGGGTTTCTATTTTTAAGATTTATTTATTTATTTGAAAGTCAGAGGTACACAGAGAGAGGAAGAGACAAAGAGATCTTCCATCTGCTGGTTCACTTCCCAAAGGCCCCAACAGCAGGTGCTGGGCCAAGCCAAACCCAGGAGCCAGGAGCTTTTTCCAGATCTGCCAACATGGGTGCAGAGGCCTACGCACTCGGGCCATCCTCTGCTGCTTTCCCGGGTGCATTAGCAGGGAGCTGGATCAGAAGTGGAGCAGCCAGGTCTTGAACTGGCTCCCAAATGGCATGCTGGCATCACAGGCTGGTGGCTTTACCCGCTACGCCACAGTGCCCCCCCCATCCCCCTGCCTTTATACATTTTACTCTTTTCCACTCTTAAGTATCTAGCATGTATCTAGCACAGCACATTGAACATGAAATGGGTGCTCAAAAAGATGACATTGGTGTCTTGATATATCCTTTGAGTCGTCTGATAGCCACATTCGCTTTGCTAGAAAAGATAGGTCAGTCCAGGAGTCATTTATTCAGTGAACTCATTTCAAAAGCATTGTCTGCCAACCCTGTTCTAATGTTCTCGTTTTGTAACCCAGTCATTAATTACTATCGTGTAAAATGCTTATGCCTTTGGCCCCATCACTGCACCCAGTGTTAGACTGTTCTTCTATGATGTCCACATTTTGAACATGGGACTTATTACTTTGCTATTTCCTAATACGGAGGTTGCTTTGGCAATGTCACTTTTATACATGAGGAAGTATAGCTGGGCCTGTGTCTGACTAGATGGCATTTTAGGAGTGGATCTGCTGATCGGTGGAGTTATCTTCCTGCCACTTGTAGGGAATCTGCTCCTCGCAAAGTGGCTTCTGTGCTCTGTCAAGAGTGAGGGATGGTTAGTGACAAACAGGCCATGATGGGCTAGACAGGGCGGAGGAGGGTCACTGAAGCTCTGACCTGTCACCCCTGTGAGCCGGTGTCTCTGCCACCCTGTGGCAGCCGTACCTCCAGGACCTGCTCATATTCTTGCAATTGAGTGGAAGAATAGAGCAGCCAGATCATTGCCTTGTTTGGGAGTTTTAAAAGATTTATTTCAAAGGCAGAGCAGAGAGAGGAAAGGAGACACATACATACACACACACGTATAGATATACAGAGAGAGACAGACAGAGACAGAGCACTTCCCTCTGCTGATTTACTCCCCAAATGACCACAACAACCAGGCCAAAGCCAGGAGACAGGAACTCCATCGTGGTCTTCCCACGTGGGTACCAGGGCATCAAGCACTTGGGCCATCTTCCACTGCCTTCTCAGGTGTGTTAGCGGGGAGCTGGGTCACTGCAATATGGGATGCTGGCACTGGAAGCACTGGCTTAACCCGCTGCACCAGAATGCTAGCCCCACAGCCTCGTTCTTACATTTGGTTGTGAAGAGTGGTGCATTGTGGTGTCTGCCCACCTACAGAGAGATCAGGAAGGGTAGGTACCCAAGAATTCCGTGTATTTTTGAGTGGGAGAAGATTCGATAGTTCTAGAGACTTCCTACCCCCAAGAAAATCCTGCATGAGTGCAGTGAAATGGCAGGGCATTTGCAGGTACTGACAAAAAGATAATCTTGCTTGACTGTGGGTTTGAATGTGTGTGTATGTGTGTGCATATGAGTGTGCCCCTTAATATCTTTAAGGCTATAACTTTTCTTTTTTCTTTCTCTTTCTTTCTTTCTTTCTTTCTTTCTTTCTTTTCTTTTTTTTTTTTTTTTTTTTGACAGGCAGAGTGGACAGTGAGAGAGAGACAGAGAAAGGTCTTCCTTTGCCGTTGGTTCACCCTCCAATGGCCGCCGCGGCCGGCGCGCTGTGGCCGGCGCACCGCGCTGATCCGATGGCAGGAGCAAGGTGCTTCTCCTGGTCTCCCATTGGGTGCAGGGTCCAAGGACTTGGGCCATCCTCCACTGCACTCCCTGGCCACAGCAGAGAGCTGGCCTGGAAGAGGGGCAACCGGGACAGAATCCGGCACCCCAACCGGGACTAGAACCTGGTGTGCTGGCGCCGCAAGGCGGAGGTTTAGCCTAGTGAGCTGCGGCACCGGCCTAAGGCTATAACTTTTATTAAATTTTCTGGACACAAATGAAGGACAGGTTTATAGTGGTAGTTTGAAGAAATAATAATAATGAGGACGAGAATGACTCCTAGTGCCATCTTCCAAAGAGAACCACGGTTCCATCCCTGTTTTGGGTCTCTGTCTTCCAGTTAGTTTCCTTTACTTGCATTCTCTTTTTATAGCAAGAACGGTATGTGTTGTTTTACAGTCGGCTTCTTTTATTTAACATATAACTGTCTTTCTGGCATCACTGAAGATTTTTCTATACCAATGATTGCCAACATCCTTTGTATTTGGAGTACACTTTTGAGTCCTATAATTTTGGGCAGAATGTTTGAAGGGCTTCGAAGACCCTGTAGCTGCTAAGGATAACAGTGTCTTCGGATACCAAAACATTCGCCACCATCCCGCCCTTTGCTTGTTCCTCCATGAGAACCCTGTCATATTTGAAGAGCTGTTTACTGTCCCCACTGTGTATTCACATCCTCAAAAAGCAGAACTGAGCACTTCCTGGGCTTTATTCTGAGCTTTTTATCTCTTTCTTACAGCCAAATATCCTCTGCAGTGCACTGTGCGATCCAGTCAGCTCATTGTGACATTTCTGCAAGAAAATGTGTTCTGGTGGGCAGAATTTCACCTCTAAAGTAGTCCTGTGTTGTTGCAATTCTGCACCTTCCTTTTTAGCGGCTGCCTTCCTCTTCTTACTGTCAGCGGGCTGCTGCTTCCCTATTAGATGGATCCTTAAGTTGTTTTTCCTTTTCACTGTTATAAACAACAGTGCAAGGGAAGGCTTTCCTGTCACATCTTGACATTCATCAGAACTTATAGGATATCAGACCTTGTTTCATTTAGCTCTAAACATATTTTAATTTGTTTTCAATTAAATTTTATTACACAGCAAGGCCACCCCAACATGAATTGGTTGAAAATAACAAACTTACTGGTTTCAAAGTTAGCCCCCAATCCTATGAATCAGCTGAGCTCCTCTGGACTGGGCCAACTCAGCTGACCTCTGCAGGACTGGCTTGTGCATCTGTGGTCAGATGGTGGGCTGGCTGAGGCTGGCCGAGCTGATCTGGGATGGCCTGCTTGGTGCCTGGGGAGTGGCAGGCAGTTGCCTAGGGCTACAGAAGTGCTGAAGTCACGTGCCCTTACCCACCAGGCCTGCCCAGCCTTCTGCACCTGGTGGTGGTGCCAGAGGAGTCCCACAGGCAGCAAGAAGGCAAGCCCCAGTGGCCCCCCGTCCAAGCCTCTGCTTGCCTCCCTTTTGCGAGCAACCTACTTAGCAAAGCTATTCCCACACCAGCTCAGAGGCAGTATGGAAGGGCTCTACCGACAGGCATGGTGAGAAGGCAGCGATGCAAGTCCACCTTTTGCAATCTGCTGTAACTAGTGTTTTTAAATTGGGATTAAAAACAAAAATTGGCTACTC